CCCCGCCCCGGCCAAAACTCGAAGCGAACGAACGCGCCCCAAGTGCGCGCCGCCATGCTGGCGAGGGCGGGACGCCGGCGGCCCGGCCACAGAGCGATGGACCCCAGGACTACGCCTCCCAGGAGTCCCCGCGGGAGCGCCGGCACGTCGCGCGCGGCCTTCTGGGCAATGTAGTTCTTTTGTCTGGAAAGTTCGGGAAGCCGTGGAGCGCTGCGCAGGCTTAGCGATCTGCTGATACAGTTCATTTACTCATATTTTTTAAAAAATAGTTTTGTGGCATGTTTATTGTCGCGATGCCAATTATTTAAGCACTGGGAAGTAGTGAAATACCAGCCACTACCCTTGGGATCTGAGCTCAAAACATTTGCTTAAAGCAAATCCTTCAGACACCAGATCCCGTTTCACACAAATTCATTTAGATGAGTATTACAGCTGATGGAACATTTCATTCACATTTTAAAGTTTAAATGCACCGCTGATAGCAATCTATACTGGTCGCAGCAGGGTTTGCAAAACTCATTTGTCTGGCGTGGCCAAATTTCCTAAGTTACTTACAATGGTGTACATTTGTGTAGGTTATGAAGGTTGACATCCATTTTGTAAGACATCTTCCAAATGCAACATCAGTACAACTCCCAAGGACAATGCTCCCTGTAACCTTGAATCTTTATAACATCCTCAATGCTTATTTTTTTGTCTCCACCGACCCTAAGTGGTATACAACAGGGTCAAAATCATCTAAGAAATGACCACCTCCTGCCCACTCGAACCCTGTAGGTGACTATTTGTCTAAACTTCGGGCCTCTCTTCTGTCCAATCCAGCCTCCATCCAGGAATGAATGAGGGAGATACAGAAAATCACTTTGGCTTCAGCTAAAGATTTGAGAGATTAAGACCAGAAATAATGATAGATGGAGTTGCAAGGCAGAGCTGAGATGAATGGCAGCCTATGGGGGTTGTATTTGGAGCATCTGAGGGAGATTCATGTGGCTAGAATGTTCAGGAAGTGATGCTAGGGAAAGAACCAGAGTTAGTGGACAGGCCAGGAGGCAAAAGTTCTGCCCAGGAGGCAGCAATGGGAAGAGCCTGTCTCAGGTGGTCAGTGGGCACTCAGCCACGCTGCCCCTAGCGGCCCCTCCTGCCTGGCTGGGTGGCATTATCTCCTGCTGCTTCTCTTGCAGCCTTGACTGCTTCTCCTTTGTCTGTTGTGCCTACGCCCCCAATTCCCAATAGGAGACATTCCTCAAACTTCCATTCTCTGAAGGTAGAGTTTAATCTACGAGGATACCTCCCTATGGACGGCTGTATCCTAAGTCCTTCAACAGTGCCTGGCTCATTAGAAGATCATAACAAACTGTAGCTGAGTGAATGAATGAGGCGTCAACACCACCATCCTTCCCCTCATTCAGCTCATAGTTTGAAGAGCTGGAGTTGAAGCTTCATCTTTGGTCCCTGCCCCCAGCCACTTGAGACTCAGAGCACGCACAACGCTTCTTCCGTTTCACGGCTCTTTCTGCACCCAGGAAGTCTCATCCACGTTAGGACAGTCGTCTTCTGGGTGACTCCTATTTTACCCCTCCTGCCCAGAACTTCACCCCCAGATCTGACTGAAATGCACCCCGAGAGGCCACCTCTCCAGCAAGAGCTCCATGATTCGCAGGGCCTGGAGAAGCGCCTCTCTCGACACTCTCAGACCTCCCACTCCACCCTCGTGGTCCCAATGCTTCACATTTTATTCTCACTACTTACCTGTTCTCTAGGTAACATGTTTCCAAATGTGCCAGGGGCTGGTGTTACCTGTCCTCCCAGCAAGGGATGCCTATTCTCCCAGATCAGCATAACAGCCCATCTCAGGCTCTAGCACAGCTACACAAATTTCTAGATCTTTCTAAACAAGATACAACCTTTTCTTTTGTTAACTTTTCAGGATTTTATGTGCCTTTCTCACAACCCCTGTCTCCAGCAGGCATAGCTGATCATTTTGCTTCTGCCTCCAAGCAGGGATTGTGCTTGATTTGCCCTGCAGTAGTTAACATTAACACGTTGATATTTGTATTTTACTTAAAAACACGGATGGGGGCCCTACCTGATGGCGCCATGGGTTAAAGCATGGCACTATGAAGCTATTGCAGCCACTGTAGCAATGAGTTCAATTCCCAGCCAGAGAGGCAATCCACATGGCATGGCAGACCTCTCCTGATCTGCCTGCTGCTCCCCTCAGCAGTGTATTTATCAATCTGCCTATTCTGCTCCCCACTCTGTCTCTAGTGAAGCCTCTCACCCTCTAGTCTGTACCCCAGTTCTGAATGCATAAATAAATAAATCTTTTTTAAAAAGAACAAAAACACAGATTAACGACTTTGTAGTTTATAGTGAAATTTTAAATTATTTATTTAGACCTGTAATGCTATTGATCAGACTCTAGGCCCATGAAGACTGCACTCACGTGTGACTGAGGCTAAATTGTTCGGTTTGTCCTAGACCCTAAAACTGTTCTTTGAGGCTTCTACTTCCAGCTGCAGTTTCCCTCGCATCCTGAGCAAGTGAAAGCTGACAACCTTGAGCCGAGGCCAGCCTGGACCTGAGGATGCAGAAAAAGAAGGGCACCCCAGAGGAAGAGGGATGCATGAGCAGAAACTCAACTCCAGTTACCTGAGAAAAGCCTTTCCTACGTCATGTATGAAGTGCTCCAAGACTAGCCAGTAAATCTCAGCCAAGCTCTTATTTCTTTGCCCCAACCCACTCTTCAATTTCTTTTGGTCTTTGGTCTCTAAAAAATTGGAGATATTAAATCCCACCCACCCCCCAAAGTATTGTAACTCAAGGGTAAAAACAATCGAAGTTTCAAAGCTGTAACAACCAAGTCTAGCTCAAGCGGGCCAGGGAAGATGCCCGAAGCTGCCACTCCCATTCAGCAGGAAGGAATTTCAGAAGACAGGGAGCAGCAGGTTATAGACAGAGGAGGGGGATTGTCACCAGCCCAGGGACCTGTAAGTTCCCTGTTCCTGAAGACAAAATTACAGAAAGCCAGGAAAAACCAACTGAGAGCAAGATAGAAAACTTGTGTAGTATTTCAAGATGGAAAACGTGACACAGGACCGCAGCCCGCCACGGGTCCAGATAGCACCGAAACAGAACACGGGGGCCACTGGGCCTGCACAGCCCCTGTCCTTGTAAACTCTCCAGTCCACTTGAAAGACAGGAAGGGCCTTTGACGAAAGCCCGCCAGTTCTCCAGGCTGCCCACTCCTGGCAAACCTAATTTCCTCCCACCAACTCGAGTCTCAGTTTTGACTTTCAAGGGACGGGGGCTGGCTCCTGCCCTTCCACCATGCCTTCGTCATGCAAAGAGCTATACAACAGACATGGACGATATTGCTAAAACACCAGGGGCCATTGGTCGGGGCCAGACAATGCGGAGGGCTTCCAGGCACACTCACGAGGTCAGTCTCACTCGACAGATGAGCAGACCTCGGTGGTGGGAGGTAGATAACGTTGACAGGATGACACAGCCAGTGAGTCTCAGAACCAATATTTGAACCCTGGTGATCTAACACCAGGACCTATGCTCTTTTGTTTTTTATAAAGATCTATTTTGTTTATTTTTGCAAACAAGAAATGAGATGTAGGCTAGAGGTTGGGGTGTGAGAGGATCCACCAGCGACAAAGTGGGGAGCAGAGCAGGCAATGGGCAAAACGGGAGGGGTTTGCTGTGCCATGTGGGTCAGCTCCCTGGCTGGGAATGGAACTCAGGTTGCAGTGACTGGAGGTAGCTTCATAGCGCTGAGCTTTAACCCCCTGCGCCACCCGGAGGCCCCTGGAGCTGCGCTCTTCGTCACTGATTTGAACCTGTCACCTGTCTCCTTAAAGCAGGCTGCTGTCTCCTTGGTCCTCTCCCTCCCTCCTTCCTTCCTGCTTCTA